GGTACTGGTCTAGTTGGCCCCCGCCAGGAAGGCAATTCCCCCGCCACTCAAGTTTAGTTGACGCCCGCCACTAATGTATAATATACTGATATACTGCAGAGTGCAGATAAAAAAGGTACGAAATCATATTTATTACACATTTAAATCACATTTATAGTGACGTGCATGATCGCTGTGTACTAATTGAGTCCCTGTACCTGAACGGGAAAAAATTAATATACTAATTGAGTCCCGGGTACAAACGAGACATATACTAATTGAGTCATGCATATACTATCATGCACGTCACTATAAATTTGTCGGAAATTCATTTTCTTTTTGTTCAGATGACAACAACTGAATAACTGAGGTAGGTACTTCATAATATTATATACGGCACCCGCTGTTATACCTATCTTATATAATTCATTTTATCACACGGATTTTACCAAATATAATTCTTAAAATATCTAATTAGAGAATTTCACACAAATAACTAACGTATATGATTTCGTACCTTTTTTATCTGCACTCTGCAGTATATCAGTATATTATACATTAGTGGCGGGCGTCAACTAAACTTGAGTGGCGGGGGAATTGCCTTCCTGGCGGGGGCCAACTAGACCAGTACCCTGAATTATAATGTTTTCAGTTACAATAATAATAGTAAGTACCTACAAAGAAAATATTTACATTCAATAATGAAAATTATTTGTATTTAATTACAAAACAAATGAAGACAATGACGAATGGAGTGAATGTAATAAGGCAATATAATATTATTGGTTTATTATTAATTTTAATTTAATCTGTTGCAGTATAGTCCATCCAGTAATAAATAAGTATAAATGAACCACTGTCTACCTATCTACTTGTAAGTTATAAATTATGAACCATTATAATAATTAAATAGTATAAGGTAGGTAGGTAAAGTTTAATAATTACAATTAATAATAATTGTTTTAATCATTATTTATGAATTTGTGATCGTTATTCGGTACATAAAAAATTACAATATCTTAATGTAGGTTATTGGCTGGGCTGAAGATTATTTAAAAAGTTTTGAAGATGATTGGATGTTTTTAAACCATCTTTTATTAATAATATACATCGACATAATAGATATCTGAATAAATATATTTATATTTTTTATTTAATTTATAATATATTTATTCTGTTATTCAGATATTAAATGTATGATCATAAATTCATTAAATTCTATCATGTAGGATACACTATTTTAAATTTCTAAGTAAAATATAGCCCTACTTACTACTAGTGCTTTATGCGTGTGGTGAAAATATGAACTACCTACTGAACCGTTACACAATCGGCCATCGGGCCGGCGTTAGTTAACCTGTATATCTATAGACCGTGCCGTGCACTGTTGATTCTAGCAATGTTATTCTATGATAGTAGTATCTTAAAACGTGCTTACTAGTTATATACAATATATAGTATTTAGTAGTTTTTAGTTACTATTCATTGGCCGGTATTCGTGTCGTGCGTTGTACCTATTATAATTAAAGTTTAAAATAGTGAAAAGCAATTTTAACAATATCAAAAGAAAAACGCTACTTACTTGTGCTACAAAAAAACATTTCAATGTCAGGTAAAATAATAAGCGTTTGAATAATATTATTTCGTGTTATTTTATTTTTATTTTATTTTACATTACATTACGGGACGAACCCTTTAAATACATGCATATAATATAATAAGTAATAGTAATTAGCTTTGTGGAAACGAGGCTCAGATTTAGAGGGTGAATGAAGGGTCAGTATTGGCAATACTCATAAGACGGATAATCGGTGAGTTAAAATAGTAGTTTGAGGAAGAGAATGGTATATGGAATGGAACAGATGAACGAGTACGACGGGAGGGGACTTTAAAGGAAATACGATATAGTGATTCTGGACTGTCAATTTTAGAGGAGAGTACATTAGAATATGTGTTATGTAAGATAGATTTAAAATTCAAATAATGTTGAATTAATTACCGAAATAATTTTTAAAATCATAAATTAAATTCAAGTATTTTGTAGGAGTCAATCGTCATGGTCGTAATGGATCCAGTCAGGGCTCATCAAATAATAACACGCAAATCCCCAAGAATTGGACGAATTGCCCGAGTATGGCTATTATGTCTATAGCCGATTCATTTGTGACATTTAAAACACCATTAGATGATAAATATAACAATAAAATACCATTCATGAAAAGATTCAATCCACAAATGGTATTTAGTCATATGTGTTCATATCAGGTACTTGATATTGTACAATTATATTATTTTAAAATCGTATTAAACAACTTTTGGTATAAATGCAGTGTAGTTCCCCCTTGCCAATTTGAATTTTCTTTATTGGAACTTAGGTAATTTGTTGAGTTACAAACGATGGTGCAAATCAGAATTTGTTGCTTGGATTTCGTTTTGAAGTTATAACCTAATGAAGTTGGAAGGATTTTGCGATTTTGTTTATGTGCTACGCATGCACACAGCTTACAATTTTACTACGCCTCTCGTGAATTTTTTTTGAAACAAAGTTTTTTTTAGCTGAATTTGATGGATCATTCAGATTTTTGCTATCGTACTTACTCATATGGTATAAGAACCAGAGCCGCTAGTCTTAGGGAGTTACCTACTACTTGTTGTACCTTAATTTTTTCACCATATAGGTTAGGATGAGCCTCCAGTCGAGAAAGTCCTGCTATTTTTTGTACCTTAACTTTCCCACCACATACCTAGGTTAGCCCCAGTCTCCATTTGAGAGTGTTGCGGACCTTGGCACTCTAGGCGCCAATTCGCTATATAATAACATAATATATAACATAGTATATAATATAATATAATTTATCATAATGTTATTACGGTCATAAACTCCATTAGCATAAATATTGCAACAATATAGTATAGAATATGCACACGACTAGAAATCATGGACACGAGTCGCTATTCTAAGAATTGACAACAACAACCGAAACACACACACATACAAGCTGCACGCGCCGCTACATCAAAGGAGCCGCCATCACTTATAAGGGATCCCGTGGGACAGCCTGGGCAGATGTATCATAGCCACGGAGACCTGAGCAACTTCTTGTCGCACGCGCACACGCTATTATACTCTTACTATATTTTCTGCTAAATAAACATAATTCTACAGTTCAATTTGGTACTTGTTGATTTGTCTCTAAAGCTTACGGCTTTTGGAGCCTTTGAGATTACGCACACAAAAAGAGGAACAGTTGTCCGGAGTTTGACCTAGTTATGATCTCGAGTTTCTGACCAGAGCCGGTATATATATAATAATAATTAAAATAAAATAACGGTATGTTTATTCTGTAATAATTCTCGATTATTTTTCCTATAACTTCTAAAATATAATCATGATAATATATGAACTCTGTAAATAAAGAAAAAAATAATTTTTAATATTTTTAGACTTAATTATGTAAGTTTTTGATGAATCCAAAATGTGGCTGTTTTTTTGCAATAAATTCAAAACCAAGTCCAAGCGACAAATTCTGACTGTACCATCGTTCTTAACTTGGCGAGTTACTTAAGTTTCAATAAAAAAAATTCAAAATGGCTGCATTTGTTCTCAACTTTTTAATTTATAATGGAAACAAGCTGTTGTTCATATTTCTGAATACAATGTTAATTAATTATTTCTTGTTTTTTTTACTACATTTGTGAGTAATAAATAGGTTGTACAATGTACATGGTTGGCCACTAGAATAGTGCCAAAAATGTATAGGCAAAACCCTATGTTTGGCCTTATCCTCATGGCCCACTCTGTATACCATTGCTTTAGGGCTCAAAAAATCAAAATGATCTAGTGTTATACTGTTATTAGACACAATATAATATGTTATTCCAGTTTTATAAGTATATAAAAATTGTTTCAGCAAAGCATTGGTTTATGGATTGATCTCACAAACACTTCACGCTACTACAGTCAATATGAAATTGAAGATATGGGATGTATTTATAAAAAATTGAGCTGTGACGGTCATGGGAGTTTTCCTGAACGAAGCTTAATTTTATTGTTTTTCAATATTTGTTGTAATTTTCTAGAAAACAATTTTACACAGTTCATTGGTAGGTTATATTTAATTGGTTTAATTCATATAATAATAAATAACCATATAATCTGAAATTAAACAACTATTTGTTTTAATTAGGTGTTCACTGCACTCATGGTTTTAACCGAACAGGATTTTTGATAGTTTCTTATTTAGTAGAAGTATTAAATTATGATGTAGCAAGTGCAATATATCATTTTGCAGAAGCTAGGTAATATACAATTTATTTAATTTACAGTGGCAATAGTGACATGATTAGAAATTTGTTCTGGGAGATATTAGTTTTTAAATTACATAACATATTAAAATTGCATAAGTTTTAATTTTCTTGAAAGTTTAAACTTGATGAATTCTGTGCATAGGTCATAAGAAATAAAATTAATCAGTGGTTTGTCACTGAATTATTGAACAATAATGCTCTATAAAATATAAATAATCAGAAATAACGTTTTCATGTTTTGTTACTTGTAAAGGCAGTTCAAATTGAGACCCATTGAAGTATTAAATTTAAATTAAAATTTTTTTTTACTATTGAGCATTGTAATCATCACAAAAAACAGGTGCTATGACCGAAATTATTTAATTTTATAGATATTGAACAAAATAAAAAAATGAAATCTGTATTCTGTGTGTCATATTAAAGCATTAAAAAATTATACTATGTAGGAAATTTAAAAAGTTACTAAATAGTATACAATATTTATAACTGAAAATATAAAACAGCATCAACCTGTCAACTCTCTAATAATCATGCCACTGATGATACATTATTATGTATGAAATAATTAATTATATGTATGTATTTTAATAATTTAGACCTCCTGGTATCTACAGACAAAATTATATTGATGAGCTTTACAGACGGTATTCAAATGAAGCACCTTCCGTGGCTCCAAGACCTCATTGGATTCATTAGTTCTTAAATTCTAAGCTATTGACATAATATTTTTGTATTATTTATTCGCCCACATTGCTCAAACTCAAAAATGTATTTTATGTGCATTAAAAATGATAATAAATACCTTTATTTGTTACAATATAGTATCAATGTAAAAAAGAGGGAAAATGCGTAACACTCTGATGTTCATTAAGTGTCTAGTGAGTCACTTTAATAGATGTATTAAATTTGAATCAATTATTTAAAGTATACGAAAAACTGACTGTAAATACTGTGTCAGTCTTTATATATTAAATATATTTTATGATAATATTATGATTAAAATAATTTATTTTACTATTAAGCATTAGTACCTACTATTATTGTAGTAAGTTAATTTCATTTTGCCGAAAAAATTGCATTTGAAAATGTCATTGTATATAATATACACTGTATATAAAGTATAATAATACACCTACTCTAAAAGTTTCAGGGGGGTTGAGTTTGCGGCTAAATATAGTATTTTCACCTATATAGAAAAGCCTTTATTGCCCTTTATAAAATTAAATATGTTTAAAATACTTGTTTGATCCTGGTTACATTACAGATCAATACATTTGGCAAAATTATAGTAAGACTTAAATTTCTCGTCCCACTTTTATCAGACTTCGAATTATTTCATCAGTATCATAGTTATAAATTAAATTGCTATTATACTTCCATTTTTAATAAGACTTGTTAAGCACAATTTTGCTGTACAATACCACATTAGATATCCAGATATACTTTCATAAACTATTAAATCAAAATGCACCAAACAGAAATGTGGAATGCGTACGACGACGACGACAACTAACTGATAAGTGTTCGAGAAATGCTGTTGAGCTAACGTAAAATTCCGTATCGACATTGACAGATTGAAGTAGTAAAAATTATCTACAGCAAAGACTCAAAAGTTAGATATGATTATAGATAAGTACCTATGCAGGTATGTCAAGTCACAATAAATATAAAAATTAAATTTCCATATTTTTAATTTATTATTTTTAACAAAATAATTTGAACATTTTTGAGTTTGATAAATTTTGACAAAATTTGAACTTTGAATGTTTTTAAAAAAAAATACATGCCTCTGAATTTTTAATATTTGTCAACTACTATTTTAACAACTTATGAAGAACCTTGTATTACAAGTTCAATTTTTTTGAGACAATTATTAAAAAAAGAACTAATAAAAATCGAAATTGTATGATGCCTTTCAACAGCTCAAAAAGATTTCACAATATTATGAAAAATTTGTAGTGCATAGGAATTGCTAATATAAACATTCAGTGAACATTTCATGTATCTTTAATTATTTTTTTAGAATTACTCTAAAAACAAAAATTAATTGATTTTTCCAAAAACTGGTTTTCTGCTTCTCTGTTTTTGAAAACTTTAGCTTATTTTTTCCATTGACCCACCCAAAGTACCAAATAGATTCACTTTCCTATCAGAAAAGATGCGGTTGAAGAAAATCAAAGCATTTTTACAGTCTCAAAAAGTGATAACGAGCATAAATTAAAAAAGAAAAAAAAATTTGTGAAATCAATCCATTCATCCTTCCACTCAGAATCTAAAAGTAATTATCTTGTATAAAATATTGTATTCTATTCGACACAAATCCTCAAAAATATATCCGTAGACCATAATTCAATTTAGTCCTATGAATTAAAAAGCTTGAAAACTCATAAAAATGTTAAAATTCAAAAAAATATACATATGTTAATTAGGTCTTGAAGTAATGAAGTTAACTTCTAAACATAACTTTTTATATATTTGATTTATTATTAAGTACTTACAAGTTAAAACCATAGGCGCCAAGATTTAAAAATATCTTAATAGTCATTTAAAAATAGCCACTTACTTTTGCATCCAAGTCTTGACTGAGGAGGGCAACTGGAGGGCCATGAACCCAACACCATAACAGGCATCTAACAATAGTGGGCCTCCCACTAGATGGTTAGTACATTTCATATAATAAATAGATACTGGATATATCATAATTTGACCCTGAACCCAAATTATTTTGATTTGGGCTATTTGTCTGAACGCCAAACACTGACTTCAGCAGTTTGTTATTGAGTTAGAATATCAGAATTCAAGGTATTTCTCATAACCTGGCAGTGGGTAGCATTAATAAGGTAAAACTAGTTTACTTACAATGGATTTGATGCAACATAAAATAGAATAATAATACATCAATGTTTATAAAGATATTCTTTATAAAATATCATTTTTTTATTACATTAAATGCAATACACTTCATAATTATTTTTTATACACTTTTTCTTTTCATAACAGTAGTTAACAATGTACAAACATTAATTCCAGCCTTACCATACTTTTGGTTATGAAAGTTATCACAAAATAAAAAAAATAATATATAATAATAAAATATTATTATTGAATTATGATACTGGAACACATAAAAAATTATCAAACTTCATTAATTAGACTTCTCCTCAATAAATTCAGCAAAAAGCATACCTAATCATTGAGTTTCTATTAATAGTTTATGGGTTAAATATTATACTTATCATGTAATATCATTTAAAATCAGTATAATACATAATAAGTAAACTGAATATTACACAAAAAACCTTATAAATCGATTATCACTTTTTTTCTTTATATAAAGGAGTTCATTTTTTTACATACAACAAAAATGCGTTATTGAAATTTAAAAATATGAAAATTTACCATTACAATATTTGTATAATATATAAACGCTGATGTATTAAAATATAAACTTGATATTGATATATTGAGAGCTAGATAATACAGACAACTTTTAATAAATATAATAATAAAATAATAATAATAATAATAATAATAATAATAATAATAATAATAATAATAATAGTAATAATAATAATGTAAAAAAGCAAAATTAATGTACATTTTACAACAAAAAATAATAATAATAATAATAATAATAAAATAAAAGACAGTATTAAGAGTGTAGGATTTTTGCTCACGCAGAAGTGTATATTTATACATGTATATATAACAACTTGAATGTGCATGGTTCCAATCTGTACACAAAATAACTTTACAGAATAAAACAAAATTTTTATTTTTCAAGTATAAAATCGGTCAGCGATAAACTTCTGTACGGGAGGTTGTTTTTTTCAAAAATTATAAATTGAATATTTTTTAAGTATTAAAAAAAAAAAATTTAACTAAAATTTAATATTAGGTCAACAGATGTTAACAGCCTAAGACACATCGTTATAATATTTAGTAAATTGTCGTGTACAGAAATAATTATTGATCGCTCTGGTTGTGCTAATTGGTAATTATATAATTGCAAAAGAATTAAAATACAGTATTCTATAAATAATAACATAATGTATCATTTGATAATATCCAAACAACAATAACTTGTATTCCGATTGTACATTAGTTTTATTATTTCTTTTATGATCACAAGTTAATGCATATCCGTTGACGATTCAACAATTCGAGTGTTCACCAATTCGACATTATTACTCTCACCATTATCAAAATCATCTATACTGTTGAAATTAATGGGAACAGAAGCATCATAATCGTCATCGTTCCTATATTTTTATTATGTTAGTTTATAATATATTTCTTTCAAATAAAGTATAAAAATAGCTTACTCAGGTACAATGTCTGGTACTACTTGTAAAGGTTCATTCACCAGATTTGTCATTGTATCAGTAGCATGTTGAATTCCCACTTCTTCACCTTCATCAGATGAATCTTCTATATCCTGTGTAGTCAATGTTTGGATTGAGAAATCCTGTAAACACAATATTAGAATTTGATATAACATTTTTTTGTAAATGCAAAAATTTGATTAAATCTAATATATATTTTATTTTAATTTACTTCAGATGGGCAGAACTCAAATGCTTTTTGTAGGACTTTACGAGCACTGGTTGATCTTTCTAAGAAAAAACTATTTGTGTTTTCATTGGACTGGGGTGTCCAACTATTATACGAATTATACTGGCTTCCAGTCAATGTTTTCTAAAATGACGGAAAAGTGAGTTGAGATAATTCTAACAAAAGAAAATAATAATAGTACTCTATTAAGTTCTTCCTGTAGCCAATCCACTGCTTCCACCCATTTTCTTTTGAGATCTGTGTTTTGCAGTACAACTTTATGAGCCATTGGTATCCTCATGAATAAACCGACTAATCCTTTGATACATTGATATGACCGTCTTTGATATTGATTTTTGTGACGCAATATTGTGTCAAGTACACCTTCTCTATCTTCTAAAATGTGTGAAAAAAAGTCAGTATACAATTAAAAAGAAAATTCAGTTAACTTACCATTTCCAGTCATAGCATTTTGAATGCGTAAAACTTGCCATGAATCTTCGATACTTAATATGACAAATAGTAAATCCAAATAAAATTTGAGCTCTTGACAATATGTATACATTATGTGCCATAATATTTCAGTTAAAACCATACTACTACTCAGAGGATTCTCCCAACATACAAATTGTAGCATTTTCATGCTTTCTTCATTCATTTGAGAATTATCAATAAGTTTTTTCAAATAACTGAAAAATATATTATATATTTCATTAATATGAATGTATATTTATTTATTTACATTTTAAGATAATACATACCATATTCGACCAAAAATACTATCTTTAACTTGTTGAGGAACTTTTCTTAGGTATGGTTGACATTCCGCAAATGGATTCGGCAGGAAAGGAGTACCCTATAAATCAATAAATTGGAATACTGAATTGAGAAATCAAGTCAATGAGGAACCAAAAGTGTACGTGTTCAACGTATACAACACATTTTAGAGATAACGTTGAGCGACATAGCCACAGCTGGTTGTCATCATGCTCAGTCTCCATAGTGGGACTAGGCATATTTATATCTTCAATATATTTCTAATACCACAGCAAGTGCCCACCAACTTTTTAATAATATTAAGAGGACACTACATCCACATGAGTTGTCTATGTCTTACAAATGTACAACTTAGCAAAAACTGTATAGTGTAGGATAGAACTACTCAGGCAGTAGTGATAGTTAGGACTCCAAATAGATACACAATATAGCTGAGAACATTATCTATGAAATGATCAGAGGCAACCAGTCAGGTAAAACCTATTTGTCGTGCAGAGCCATTCGTCTGTATGCTTTTAGTGGAAATGTGGAATAATGACAAGCCCCTGCGCTTAAGTGGGCTGCTATACTCACTAGAGTAGTTTTTAAGTTAAAAGCATACTTTTGTATTTCATCAGTAGCAGTTTGAAAAAGGCACTACATTTATTTTTTTTTGCTAG